AGGGGCACTCATAGTTAAAGTTACGCGAATCCCAACCACCTTGACTCTCAAAGCTAGGTTCCCCTCACGCTGTTAATGCAAATTTTTGGGGTTTTCGAAATATTTGTTTGTTGGTTTCCGGGGAATTCCTGGTTTGGTGAGTGCTGGAGTGTGTAAAGAAGCACGTAAGCAAAAATAAAGTGGCAAGCAGGTAGGCACACAATGCAATGAAGAAATAAAGCGAGCGCTTGACACCAGTTGTGCCAAGCGATGCGCGCTTTGAGGCGATGCTCGCTCGAAGCACATTATAGATGGAGGGGTAAGCAACCCTTAAGAAGGTATAGTCAAGACAGTGAGACCAAGCACGGTCCATGCTAAGTCGAGCTTGGCTCGAGTCGAGGACGACTCGAATGGGATACAGTTCAGGGAGGGTGCAAGCAACCCTCAATGTATTTTTATTTTTATTTTTATCTTTTTAACTTTGATGAAACACAATTAACTAAGCGTGATGAAAGCAAAGCAAACATGATTTCAGTCAAAATTAATGAACTAAAATAAAATCAGAAAGCCGGTAACAGAACATACCTATCTAAAGAAAAATAATTTTTTTATATTTTTAAAAATTTTATTTTGAGCTAAAATTTGGTGGACAAGAAGCCAAAAGGCTATGGAACAAGCCTATGGGTTCCCAAAATTTTTCTGGAACCACTGCAGTTGGGGGACACGGGTGGTGTCACTCGGGCGGCACTACTGGTGTCGCCCAAAAAAAAAAAAAATATTTTTATCTTGATGAAATAAGGCTACCGTAGACTTTCAGAAGTAGGGAAAACAATATTTATAATGAAATATAAATCCCTCTTTCTTTCTTCTTCTTTTACTATTTTGATTCTATTATATTTATTTTGATTTGTTAATTTGCTTTAAAAATCGTGTTTTGATGCTCTTGATCATGCTAGCTCTGCCACAGATCTGAGAGTAGATCTGCTCGTTTTCAGGTAGATCTGCCCTCAGATCTGAATTCAATTTGTTATACTTCTCTACCACATATTTTTAACAAGTTTAAGGTGTCAAGATCCGAGAGATCTTTGTCTGAAGATCTGTCAGATTTTCATCGTAATCAGAGAAGAGCAATGAGTCGAGGGTTCCTAGAATGAGTGGGTCGGTTCAGGGTGAATCTAGCCATCTGCCGACTATAAGATAAGGCTTTTTGCATTTTCAGTGGTCTAAGGTGTTAAGATCCGAGAGATCTTCATCGGAGGATCTGTCAAATTTTCATTGTAAACATTTTGGCGCCCACCATGGGGCTTTCGAGCTTGATCCAAGCACCAAAATACGATTTTTATTCATTGTTTTGCACTGATTTCGGTCACAAGAGGTCCCAAATATCAACTTTGACTAGGATACAGGGTTTCGGTGCTGCAAAACCATGTTTTTTCTGGGCGACCCACTAGTGCCGCCATAACAGTTTCAGAAGATTCTGAAAATTTGTAGATTTATTCTAGGGTCTCTCTTGTGACTGCTCAAAAAATTTCAGATCAAAATAAATTTTTTTAAAATACCAAAAATATATTTTACTTGATACAGATCTCTTCTATCTACATTGTTCTGCTTTACTCTGTTTTAAAGAAACAATACCAAACCGGGCCGGATGGCCCGGGACTCCCGAGCCTTCGAGGGCTCATCCGTATCAGAACAGGCGTCATCTTTGCCTCTCTGATTCGAATGTTGACTAGCAGATCTGTGGTTGAAGAAGGGTTGTTGTGCCCTGGAGATGGTTTAGAACTAGGGTTGCTGTGCCCTAGATCTAAGGTTTAGGTTTTTCAGGCTTAGCGTTAGGGTTAGGGTTTTCTTAGCTAACTCTTTCCTAGGGTTTTTCTCACTTTTTCTCTAGGGTTTCAATCTTTTTCAAGCCATTCCTCAAATGGCCACGAAAAGACATCTTATAGGGATCAAGGATATGTTGGAAAGGACAACTTTCTATAACCACTAGATCCTCATCCCAAAAAATCCAATTTTGAGGTACGGATCTGGGCGACGCCCAAAACATTTTGGCAAAAATCACCCAAAAGGGCAAGGAATCGAAACCTTGGTGAGAATTTTCAATTTAAGACCAAAGGGGTTGGGACGAGTGGTGTCGCCAAGACTCAAATTGTGTCCAAATTTTTGTTTATAACTTTGGGTGTGTTCCTTAACCTCATATGAAGCTTTCGGAGAAAATTTGGGTCAAAACGAATTTTTTTACTATTTTTAATGATTTTTATGGTAAAACAATGCGTCTGTAGGGTTCCGGGTAGGCAGATTGCTTCTGGATCACAGGGTAGGCTGTGTGAAATATGAATTTTGTGTTCACTAGGTCAGTGTGGTCCTAAGGGTTCAGGAAACCATATAATTTGTAAGATTTAAAATGGGGTGTCTACATTAATATAAGTAAAAATAATTTTAGTTGTTGTACTAAATAACGTAATTGAAAATACAAAAAGAGAAAAATGAAAGGACAAAAAATTAGCTGAAAATTTTAAGTTATGCTTGCTAAATAATATAATTTAAATTATATTTTATTAGCAACAAACAAATATTCCTAGATAGAATAATTAGTTGAAAATACAAAAAAAAAGTGAAAATTCCTTCTTTTTTTATTTGTCTCTACTTTTCTACACTTTTCAAAATATAATTTTAATTTGAAAAATATGTATTTGTGAAGATGGAACCAACTAATTATCTATTTTTCTCTCTAAAATCAAATCTCTCTTTGAAAATGTCATTTCAAGATTGTTTTTTTTTTTCGTGTGATTAACATTTATCACATACAATGCACATGCGTATCTCTAGTATTTGTAAAGGGTGAGGTTTGTACAAGATGCGATCAAGTAAGGTGCACCTCGAAATTTTGTTGGAAGCTATAGTGCTGGTGTTGGAAATCGTAAAATGGCTTGAAAATATATTTTAAACTTTAATTATGAATTTTAATTTTTTTTTTAAAAAGTGCAGTTCGAGTATATCTACAAGCATATCTATAAACACTCTTTCCTACTTATATATGAGGTGCATCTTACTTCTATAGTGGAATGTTATAGCATTTTATAAACTTGTAGTATCTATACATAATAAAATATAAAAAAGAAAAGGTCAAAATAAGATCGAGGCCCTATTAAAAGAAGTAATGACTTCTCTCAAAACTCCTAAAATTATAGTTCCGGCATTGAAAACTTTTTAGATCGATCGTCTCGCCCTGGACTATTATAATTTGGAAAAAAATCAAGATTTTAAGCCTAAAAATAGTATATCTTATTACACATTATCTATACCGTTTATTTTTCAAGTGTTACGTATCCACAAGATTTAGACCTTTTGTTTGAGTTTCAAATTTCATAATTAGTAGGGAAAATTGATTTTACAACATTAGACAGATTTCTCGTGCCACAGTGTTTTCCAGAAGAAGTTAATACGTGAGGCTTTTACTTGTTTTTCATGAGGCGCGGGGTTTATAATGGCAGCTGCATCATAAAAAAGTTCACTAAAAAGTAAAAATTACGTGTGTTCCCTCGGGAGCATGCTATAGGTACTCATTTAACATTAAAGCGCACAGGATAGAGCGGGTAAGAACTTAGTCCCGCCACTCTGCAGCCTTATCCCTGCTCTCTCCGCCCCAGTCTACAGCCATGGCACTAAGTATCACCTCCACATCGTCTCCTCTAAACACCAACCTGCAACACCATCTTCTCCCAGGCACAGGCAACCCACTCTCTCTATTCTTTCCCCAAACCCATTTTCAACTGAAGAGGGGGCCTTCATATGCTATAAATGCCTCTCTTTCAGCTTCCAAGGAGTGGGTACTCAAGGAATTCCATGCGCGAAAGGCTCTAAAGGTTACAAACCCTCTGATTTTATCAAACTTTCATATTCTCCGCTTATGAATGTGCTTTCATGCATATCCATGTCCTTATTTACGATTGTGGATCAGTTCTCATGGTTCTTGTTCATAGTCGTTCTTTTGTTTTTAGAATTCCTTTTTATATTTCAGTTATTAGTCACTTGTAGAGTTTGTTTCCGTTGACTTTGTTTCTTTGAATATTAAATGTACCCAATAAAATGGATGATGTTTACTCTTATGTTAAAATGTAGATAAGAATTTCTTGTGGCATTTGTGATTTCCACATATTAATGAGGAATATATGGAAATAATGGCCAAACTTAGGATTCACCCTGTTTTGGATAAGTTTGAATCTCAAACTTTTACAACTTGTATATCAGAATTCTGATAGATGTTTTCCACTGCGAATGGAATGACTTGTTTAGTATAATTCAAGAATGTTCACACTTTTTTATTTTCTTTGTAGTCTAGCAGAGGGATTAGAACCTTTTTTTTTTGGGGATAAGTCAGTGGTGATTTGGGCCCTTACACGTTTTTCATTAATAAGTAAAAATGGTACAAATGGATAACGAGTTTATGGTACAGTTCTTTTATGCAAAGTCCTAGCCATATCAGAAGAAATTAGAGGGGAAATAAAATCAGGTGGCTGAGCACGCCAAACTGTGGCCTTAGAGAGACTTGTAGCACTCGTGGCCAAGTGATCGGCCACCGAGTTAGACTCTCGGTAGACATGCTTAATACTCCAGGGGCGGCCATCCAAGTGGTAAAGGCAGTTAGCTGTTATAATACAGAGATTCCAGTGGGGCTTATGGCGGCCGTGAAGGGAATGCACTAGAATCTGCAAATCGCTCTTAATGAGCAGTGGAAAGCAATGCAGCTCAATAGCTAGCTGAATGCCTCGCTAAAAATTTAGCAACATGGTTGGATGTGTGCCCTAGAGGAACAACAAAAGCGAAACAAAATCCTCGCTTATCGTTTTTGATAATTCCTACACAATCAGCTGCTCAAGGGTTGCCAAGGGATGAGCCATCAATGTTTAGTTTATAGAGATTTGCTGGGGGTGGAGACCATGAGACCAAAATCAAAGTTTAAAGATGCAGTGGGTGCCATTGGATTTTGAGGTTATCAACTATAGGCTTCTCTGACGGGTGGAAAGTCCATCCTTTCACCTTTGCTAAGCCCGCAACAGTAGAGATGATCCGGTGCAACAATTGTTCTCTTTTTTGTCTCTTTCCTTCAAAGATACTCAAATTCTTTCAATTCAGAGGACCCAGATGGTTGTGGAGAATAGAGAGATCCAAACATTACGTAATCCTATTGATCAGAACCGGAATTTGACCTAGCTCTCAAATATTGAAGGTATCGATGGGCCTATAGGGAAACTTTTGCCACCTCGGATGTTGTGCTGCGGACCCCTTAATACTGTAACTGCAAAACCAAAAACCTGAATCCTGTCATTCAAGATATGGTTATATATACTTAATTAGTATATAAATCTGATGCCCTTAAGCTTTTCCAATTTGGAAGATTAGTTGGGAACACATTTAAATATCTTACGATCTAATAGAGATTTGTAGTTGTGGAGACCTGTTCGAAATTCTACTAGGAACATGGATACATCACACAACTAGACATTGAAATATGTAGTGGAAAGGTGCTGCAAAAAGACATAAAGAAACTACGATGGATGTGATGAGATCTATGAGGAGGTACAATGGCCTTGAATGAAACTTTGAGTTAGGCATTTGTACAATCATGTTTATCCTCAAAAGTGTGCTGATTAAGTCGTAGAACTAACCCCCCATAACTTTTATATTGGTAGATAAATATGAGTGTTTTGAAAGCTTGGGGACTGGCACTTCGTACGCGTTCTAGACCAACTCAGAGATAAATTTCAGGACAACACTGTCAAGTGTTGTTTGAGATATTCCATGAATCGTAACAGATCCTATGTCTATGGCATTAGAAGCCTAATTAAAAGTATAAATCCTCATTTTTAAACTAGTAAATGATGAAATAACTCTTAATGAGATAGTTGGTTAAAGAGACCCAGTCGAAAAGTCCCCTGTAGCTTATGAGTATGCTCCTACTAAATTGCTCATATAAATAAATGCAAAATGAAGGGCCCCTCTTTCACAATGGGATGTGTACTATTGCTGTGTTCACTAGAAGATAAGTATGATGTAGAAATAAATGAACTCGTCTTTAACTTAGATTATAATCATAATGGATCGATTACTGTTTTTGGGTCCTAGAAGAAGTAGATTTATGTCTTTTTGTGTTCAAAATTGATGCCATTATCTTCAAAACTACATGGGTTTAACCAAACGAGAGCTGCTAACCAAATAACTAATGTCAAGGGAAACTGTTGGCATCAGTATTATCAGGAATAAAATTCTACATATGTTATCAGAAACCAAAACAATGACCACAGTGAGATTGCACAAATCAATATAGAATGCTGCTAGTGGCAATGATAGCTGTTACCCACAATAAACTTAGCATTATGCTCAAAGAACGAGCGTTAAGCTCAAAGAACGAGCATTAAGCACATATATACACAAACATAAATCAGGGAATTGCATAACACGAATACGACAGAGCAGTAAAGTCACAGAAGGAGCATTAACTGAAACAAAAAACTCGGTTAATATTGTCGAAAAATTCAGCAACAACAAAACTAAAATTTTGAACAAAATAATCTTCAAAACTGAACAAATACAAAGAAACATATAAGTGCTCAATTTTGGGCCCAGAGGCACGGGGTGTTCTTGTGATCTTCAAGGTATGCAATTCCTCCTACTTGATTTTTCAAGGTATAATTGGGCTCTAGCGAGGATACCTCTTGGATATAGCCCAGCTTAGGGCCCATTTGTTTGGTGGGTAAGAATACACTAGGAAAGTTCTTTCCTTTGCCCTAATGCTTTTCCATGCATGTTTTTGCGAAAGAGATAGTTATTGTAACAGGTGGGAAAAATGCTGTATGTATTTTCATGAGAAAGCAGTTTCATACCTACTTAGGTGTGAAAGTACTTACCCACGCTGATGGGAAAACTTTCTCGGTGAATGAACTTTCCCAGGTCCCCCAAAAAGCACTTTTCCAAGAAACAATTGTCCCCTCAGTGAAGCACTATAACTTCAATGTTTTAAAACATCAGTCTGGGCAGAGGACACAACCTTGAGTTGAGTAACTTAGGTGACTTGGCACAGTCTCGGCCTAGCCCAGGCAAGGGCCAAAAATAACATAAAAATTCCAAAAAATTCAAAAAATTACTGCAAAGTCTCTAAACATATGAAAGAAGTCAATAGAAATGAAAATATAAAAAGTAAGTAAAAATTGAAAAAACGACAAAAAATTGATCTTATAGTCTGAAAATTGATGAAACACCAAATGATGTTTTAGTTGCTATTATTATAATGTCTAGTGTAATTCAAATTAGGCCCATGAATTTTCACTTCTCAAGTTCATATTGAAGAGATTGAAGAATAATATTAAGATAAATGTATCGTTAGTGCCCTACATTAAGTCACAAACAAAGAATCATGGTCTCATGGAGAGAACTCTGATATAAGAATACATCAATCTACACTCTAGTACTAAAAGGAGTGTGGTAGGTACATACGGACCTTGAGCGACAGGGATGGGGTCCCTCCCAAATATTTATGACATCGAGTGAGCAGTCTCCATCCTAGCAGTCCCTAACTCAAAGGCTTTGGTTGCCTTGCCTGGCTTTAGTGGTCCCTATCCTAAAGTAGCCAAGTCTAGTCCACTCCTCATGCTCGTGGCCACCTTCGCTCTGTTGCACACGCTCACCACCTGGACTCTATCTTTATAAGTACATCCTTTAACAAATCAAAAAAATTTTAAAAATTGAATTTTGGCATTTTTTGAGAGGGGATACTACTTCCAAAACAACGGAGGCATGCTACATGCATAGAGAGATGGATAAAAAAAAAATCAGCATCATAACACCTGAAAAAACAAAAAACCGAACACTATAATTGGACTCAATACAAGTTATAAGATTTTCTTTTTGCACAAGACAATTGAAGAAAAAAAAAAAGAATGCTACTCATTTTTTATTTAAAATGCAATAATAACATAAATATTACTAGATTGAGTGATACTTGTGGAAATAAATCATATATATGAATTTGAAATAGAAAAACGGAACTTACCCAAAACTTCAGGAATGATCCCCAAATCATCACACGTGGGGCAAATCAATTCCTCAAGTTCTTGTCACAGCTTTCCCAATCAACCCAAATGAAATCCTTGAAACGAGTTTTGGGGGATATAGGAGACCCAAGCTCTTGAAAAATTGAGATGAATCTGAATTTTAATTATCTTTAATCCTGAGTTTTATGTGTTTCTTTGTGAAAATCAAGCCTACTGTTGGATGAACCCTAAATTAGGCTTAGGATTCAAATCTCATCAAAGATCGCATCGCAAACTTTTGTATTCGGACCAACCCTTGCCCGAAATATTTGATCCAAAAAATTTATCACATCTGATTTTTCTCTTAAATCTAAGGCTTCTATTAGATATATCAAGCATAACTCTAGCTAAGGACTCAATTTGGTTTCAAATCAGTAAACTTAGGGCTCAAAATTGAAGACAAAAATAAAAACAGGGGCAGACCCACCCCCGTTGTTCTAAAACATATATGATACTCATATGAGTCAGCCGGATTTTTCATAGTACTCACCCGAGTTTGTAAGCTGCTCACCCAGGTACCTTACTGGGTATTTTGTTCCAACCTCAGCAACCTGCTAAGGCCAAGCTACTCATGCAAGTCCAAGTTAACTTGGATGCGTTTTTGAACAGTGTGTGACGCTCTGGTTTGGACACCCAAAGAGAGGGCTAGATGTGCAAATGCCATGCTTATTTGACTCCTACTGGACACCTCGATTCGAATTTTGATGGTGAAAAGTACGTTAAAAAAAGGTTCGGCCTGGAGAGAGACTAAACAATTGTAGAGAAGCTCCCCTAAAAATACTACAAATGTTAAGATATAGAAAAAAGAAGGAAGAAGCTTTCCTCGGATTCACCAATGAAGATGAAGAAATATGAAGGAACCCTCTCCCTAGATGTGTGGGGTATATATTGACTCACCAAAATATAATGATGTGTAGTGGCCTCTATTGGCCAACAAAGAGTTGTGTTTATAATGGTCAACAAGGTGGTGTGCTTGTATTGGTCAACAAGGAGGTGAGCTTCTAGTGGCCAACATGGAGGTGTGCTGGATATAAATTATCCCAAACAATCTTGGAAACAATTAATTGTCGAAAGAAAATAGCCCCTACATTATAGGCAATGACTTAAGTTGTTTTGGAACACACAAAATACCAACATTGATAAACCATGAAATCAAGTCCATTAAAAGAATTGTGGGGGCGTTAATGTTGCTTCTTGTAGATATGAAATGCATTTTCAAGGGGAAGTTTAAGGCTGATGGCAACTGTTAAGATTGAGCAAGAAGAGAGAGAAAGTAACATTTAAGCACAAGGTAAAGAAAAATACAGATGTCTTTTTCACTGTATGCAAATCGTGGGGCAATGCGTCCTATATATACACAAATCCCTATGGAAGTTAATATACAGGCATGCATAGGAGTTACAACCATTAGGCATGACTGTTACATCAAGAAAACCTGTCAAATATGATAGGATATTTTACATGTTGTCATCACATGCCAATTTCTTGAATGGAACTAGTTTCCACATTCTGTTGTCATTTTTTAGGTCTGAGCATATCCAGTTGTTATTTATTATGATAATAAGCATGTTCACATTTAGTTTTCCTGAGTGGCTCAACTTATTATGATTCTCTCTGTGATTTGATGAATATAAATTGTCTATTTTAAATGTTGGATTTTATCAACTTTGGAGTTCCAAAGATCTTTTGTATATAGAGAAAATCCCAGTGAGTTGTTTACTTATAGCCCTCTTTTGTTGCTTTGAAAAAGAGTATTCATCATCTGCCTAAAATTAAATGCTGAATGTTCTTTCTCATTTACATGGAGATTTTGTGAAACATTTTGTACAGATCATATCAGGGTTGCAAAATTTTGACGAGGAAAATGTGGCTGCTGTTGTTACTGCCGCAGAAAAGGTTAGTATACCTGGATAGATTTATCTGAGAATTATTAAATTAATTTGATATATAATTATTGGACATGCTAAAATTTCACTATCTGCAGAATTGAGTCATTGGACGACACATCAAATGATATTTGCATGCAGTTTATCTTCAAATCTTTAAAATTTTGAGTAACTATGGGGCAATTTCAGATTCTAGTTAAGGATGCACATTTTTTGAGTAACACAATCGGAGTTGAATTTCTTTAGATTAGTGAAATAGTTGCTAATTGCATAATTATCTAAGACATAATTGACTACTCAAGTTGAATAAAATATATCAAAATTTTTGTGTGCTTTAAAAGTTTTCCCAAGTTTTTATAGATAGAAACGACAACTGCTCAGCCAAAACTGAACAATGGTATTTATCTTTTTGAAAATGGAAGGATGTTTGAAACTAAATTCCTAATAACAAAAAAGAAGCTCGTTATACAGTTTTGAGGTTTGATCGTTTCTATTTGGTGTTTGGGGATGAGCTGGTTATTTAGCATGTCAAGATTTTTAATCCTATGGCATCCCACTTTGATCTGTATACCATCAGTGTTGCACATAATGTTCATGTTATAACTAGTATATCTGTCTAGCAAAAACTACATGCCTTGGTGTTAGGGTTTGTGGCCTCAAAGCCCGTGAGAGCATATAAATATCATAAATGTAGTGAAAATTGCACTTCAGTCAAAGTGTATGTTGATTGACCGACCCTGGGGTAAGCGGTCTATGACCTGTGTCATTGTCCAAAACCCGTTTCCCCTTGGGCTTAGGCACTACCATTGAGCATTTCAAGAGGGCCATCCCTTTTTGAGGTCGAAGAGATGCCAAGAGATGGTATATAGGGCAAGAGAGTTTCGTGATCTCCTATGTGTGGTTGTAGGCCTGTGAGAGCATGAGCCGATTCTTCAATAAACTTTTGCACATGTGTATATGATAGCCACATTCTGGGAAGGAACTTTGTAGAGGGATATGTATAAATATGCATAGAGAGAGTACATGTATTTGACCTGTCCCTTTTTTTTTTTTTTTTCGGGATGGGGGACTGTATTATACATACTGGAATTTTGGTTCTACTGTTTATTGGCCAGCTTTGGTGGGCTAATCATGAGCCCCTATGCATGATTTTGGGTCATGTGTCCCATTGAGTTGGTTTGGAAAGATAGTAATGGATCACGGTTTCTGGCTTAGGTGGAGTGCCCTAAGAGTCATTTCTCTTGACCTATTGGTACCAATCCATTTTTGGATGTATTTATGAGGGATTTAGAATTTTTTAAGAACCTCAGAAATATTGTTTCTTAGCTTTGATTATGATTTCGTATATTTTTAGAAAATTTTCAGAACTTTTACAAAAAATTATTTTTTTGCTCTAAAAATATAGAAAGGGCAGAATTGATATTTTATGGTTTAGTAAGGGCAGTGGGACGCCCCTAATTGAACTTGAAATATTGGTCTTTTTTTATATTAGAAGTCCTAATTGTATTAGGAGTCCAACTTGGATTAGGGTTCCTACTTGGACTAAGACTCCTATTTAGAGCAAAATTTAAATTCAAATGGATGTCAATCTTATCCTAGTTTGACTAGAAATCGACATGAGTGATAAGGTTCCTAAAATTCCTCCCTAAATCATGATGGCTTATTTTTGGGATTTCTGGTTTAAATAAATTTTCTTTCTCACTTCACATTGGGTCTTGAATGGGTATTGCCTTCAAAAAGTGCACCATCATTGTGGTAAGTGGGTGTGAGGTATACTAAGTCCTAAAGGGTAACCCTCGACAAAAGTAAGTCTTCCCAGCTTAATTTATTTATTTTCAAATTATTAGTTCTTGATTTATATTTATTTACATAAGCCCTATTTGTGTTAGAATTAGAATTTGAAGGTCTGAATTCAGCCTTGGAATAAAGTTTTATTTTTGCAGTAAAAGTAAATGATTCTAAATTGTAATTTTTTTCTATTTCTACATGTATTGTGGCAATTGTAATTTGAAATTCCACTTCATCATCGTCATCATTTAGTATTTTCCCAATTAATTGGGGTCAGCTGCATGAATCCTGGTTCTCCATTCTGCTCTATTAAAGGCCATATCTTCAGTGAGTTCATAAGTCCCCATATTTTTTTTAATTGTTTTCTATTGTAAATACCTAGAAAGTGCAAAATCAATATTTTACAATTAGTAGGGGGGTTTCATTTTAAGTGAGATCCATGTGTGGTGGGGGCTAAGGGCCCAACTCCCACATGTGGGAAGGCCACATAGGGGTGGGTTGTGGTGCCTACAAGGGCCACATGCCCCACACTAAGTGGGACTCCCCTAATTAAATTTAAAATATTATTTCTTATTATATGTTTTAGAAGTCCTAATTATGTTAGGAATCCTATTTAGATTATGATTCCTATTTGGACTAGGACTCGTAGTTAGATCAGAATTCAAATTAAAATAGAAGTCTATCTTATTTTAGTTTGACTAAAAGTGGATTTGGGTGTCAAAGATTCCGGGGATAAGATTTCGAAAATTCCTACTTAAATCATGATGGCTGATTTTTGTGATTGAAGACTCACATTTGTTTTTTCTCAGCCCCACAGATTACTAGGAAAATTCGTCAAATTGGATTTTAATTAAGATAGACATACCCTAGATCTCTTGAAAAACTATAAATAAAGGGGTTCTAACCTTATTTCATTCATTTAGTTCTCTTGTCCCTCTCTCTCTACTCTCTCCTCTCGACATCACATGTCTCTCTCTATAGTTTCTTTCTCATCTCTCTTCCTTAGAGGGTGGAATCCCGAAGGATGCCTAGGGTGGCACGCCAACCCTATGGCTAAGGAAGGGAGCACACCCAGCGTAGGTTATAGCAGGGTGGTGCATGGTGGCATATACCCTAAGGGCTTTAAAAAAACCCCTAGACCTAGTTCAGGCTCTCATACCCCTGTTCTTTAAAGGATATTCCCTAAGGAGTCTCCCAATCTATAGAATTCAGCAGGGCCAAAGGTTCAACAAGTGTGCTATAAGTGTGGTAATCGAGTGTGGGGCATACTAAGTCCTAAGGGGGTTACCCTAGGCAAAGTTTAGTAATGCTTCCTAGCCTAGTTTATTTATTTTCAGATTAGAAGTTCTTGATTTGTATTTATTTACATAAACCTTGTTTGTATCAGAAATCGAATTGAAGGTTTGAATTCAGCCCTTGAATAAAGTTTTATTAATTAGTAAAAGTAAAAGATCCTAGATTGTTGTCTGCCCCCTCCTATTTCTATAATTGTATCGTGGCAATAATAAGTAGAAGTTCTAGTTATCTATAGATAAATTTTTAAATTCATACTTGAAATTCTGCATGGCCACACTTTTCACTTAGACCTAGATAATGGATAAACAGCATTGTTTACCTAGAAAAGGACCGAGAAAGTAAAAATTTAAAATGTTGGAGAGAGCATAAACCAAATTCCATAGAGATCTTCATCCATTAGCATGACAATAGAATCAAACATGGTCTAGAGTGCGATTCTCAATAATCATAAAGCATGAATAGCACAAAGGGGGACTAGACTTTTTTTTTTTTCTCAAAGGCTTAAACTGCCAAAAGACCCATGTATCTTCAACTTGTCAATGTCAGCCTGCCTCCAATTTGATGGCCAATGACAGGAATCTTATAAATTCACTGTACTAATCTAGTTGTTATTGGCCCTGGAAATCTGCCGTAACCAAATGCTTTTAATTTCCTACATTACCTCTCTCTTCTCTTATAAATTTTTAGGCACTGTCCTTGGATCATAGTTTTTGTCGGATGAATAAAGTTTTAGACTCTCTATCTTTCTCTCTCTCATACACACATGCACATGCACACACAACCAAACCTTCCTTCCCAAAACCACAACCTAGTTTCCAAACCTTGTGACTTTCTCTGCCACTTGTTCAAATGAAAGCAAAACTTATTTCTCTTGTCTTTGTCATTCGTCCATAGATAACATTATGACTCGTGAAAACAAAGAAAGGTCTACATTGACAATAAACATGGTAACTTTTTTAGAAGAACATTTAGCTTACCGAATCAGTGGCTGCAAGTCTTTAAATTTCAATGGAAAAATCTGTCTCCATCATCTTTTTGTTTGGTATGTATGTGGTCAAAATTGGAGTATGTGACCCCATGGCTTTAATCATCTCTATAGCGCACGGTATCAAGTTTATTGTCATACAAAGATGAATGTTGGAGAAAGGAGGTAGTTGCGCTTGGATTTCTAAATCTCAATAATATAATTATCCCTTTCAGGTTTGATTCTCCATATTACTTTAGTGGGATTTCTAAATATCCATGGGATCATCACTTGTTGGAAGACAGTAAAAACAACAAACTGTTTTTTCCCTTTTTTTGCCCTTAGCTAGTGAGCTTAAGTTCCAACCTCAAACTTAATGTGCAACTTTAAGTGACTTCCAATTGAGCATAGTGACTTGAGTCCTAACTAAGAACATTCTTGAGAGCTTTTGTCAAGGTTATAGTAAATGTTTTACTTTTAAATCCTTTTTTTTCCCACAAAACACATAACTATGTTGTCAATTTTCTTCTCCATCTATACATGGTTATATCATCCAGAGTGCGTCGAATTTCATGTTTCCCATGCAAACCATGATTGAGGTTGTAAGTTCCTTGGAAGTTGCAAATCGAACTTCCCATTTCTCTATAAATCTCTTTGTTTTTCCATGAAATATGGTGCTACCCTAGTTTGAGTGGAATGTTTAAGCAAGTATATGCACTTTGTGCCAAGCTAGTGAGAAGTGTGTTCTTCAATTTTGTTCTCTGAATACTAAAAAGTAACTCATGTTGTTTGAAAGATCAATTTTCCATTTATCTCCTTCTACTTGGTTTGCTGCATAGGCCATTTACCATGTGTATGTCAAGGTTCTACTCTTCTTTACTCAATAGAAGCATTCTTACATCTGAATATGTTCTCTTTAGTATCATGTCTAGAATTGTCTTTCTTTTTTTTGTAAAAGATCTCTAGTATCACGTGTAAAAGCATTTTGCAGGGAGGAGCAACGCATGTCGACATAGCTTGTGAACCTGACTTGGTGAAGCTTGCAGTCAACATAACTTCTCTTCCGGTGACTGTTCACTCTCTCATTATTTTTGATTGGATTGCTTTTGTATTTTATTTTTTTAAATCAATTTTTTTTTATTTGATCGAGGAAAATTGTAGTAGTGCTTGAAAGTCTAAGGGATTGGATGCAAATATTAACTTAAAAAGAAATTCTGTGGGGAAACTTCCACAAACCCAATGCATGTTTTGGATCTTATTCCATAAGCCTAGTGTTAGGCTCCCTGCTTGGTGCATGCTTGTTGGCCAGGGAACCTCCCTTGACCCACCCAATTCAGGAGAGAGAAAGTCCCATGAGCACTATGATGCATGTGTGCTACTTTGGTGCATGTAAAGTATTACTCTTACGGGCCAGTTCTTTACACGTACACTGCACAACAAGGTAGTGAGCTAGACCATGGGCTTAAAGTACTACTCTTACGGGCCAGTTCTTTACACGTACACTGCACAACAAGGTAGTGAGCTAGACCATGGGCTTCATGCTGTGCTTGGGCCTTGCATGAAGCCTTGTTCAAATTGAAATTTTTGGCAGGAGCATGGCGGCCTTGTTAGGTGGTGTGCACCACTCAAGAAGGTGCGGTCAGAAGGTGAGCATTGTGTTGGAGTTATGGCCTTTCAAAGCCTTGTAACCCCAACATTGAAGCTCTTGATCATAGTGGGAGTTTACAAGAGCAATGTGACTCTAGTGTCGTGGTGCATTGGGATCAAGAGTCACATAATCCCGAGAGTTTTATATATAAATATATGGGGAATGATTTCATGCAACAGTTGTATAATAATGTAATGAAACAGTATTCAAAAACCATATTAGTGGCATTTATGACCCCAATTTTTAAATATGCACTCTTCTTATTCCAATGAACAATAAAAAAAAAAAATTGAAAACACACCCTAGAAATGTTTCTTAGCCCAATTAACATAAGCCGTCCATTTTCTTAAGATGCTTAGATCTAGGCCTTAGATGGATGTTTTTCCTTTTCAAATTTTTTAGATACCTTTGCTATCATTAGATGAACAATGTTGAAAAAGAAAAAAAATGGTCTTGAGTTCATAAAGGCCAAGATCTTGAAGTTCACCCAATGGATGGTATAGATTCATTGTTGGAGGAAACTCATTTTAACCATATCTAGGATGTAAATTGAATTTTTTTTTTTTTTTTTTAAATTGACTATTGGGATGAAAAGAGGATATGTGAAATTTTTGGGGTCATACAAATGCTACAAACATAGTTTTTTAAAAGTGTGGTTTCATTATAATAATATACAACCGTTACATGGAATCATTCCCCTATATATATATATATATATAGGAAGAT